AAAAAAATAAGAATATGGCCGAAATTTATACAAACGTAATAAATTATACACGTGCAAATGTTTCTTGACTCATATTAAAGCTTTATTACAAATAAATAGTCATCATTTTTAGATGACTCAATTGTATACTACAATAATATGAAGTATAGAAGAATTTTACTAACTATGATTCAACATACAATATTTAAAATATATCAAATACTTACAGGAGTTGTTCAGACATTTGAATGTTTTATCTTGAATGATGAGGATGCCTGTCGAGAATAAGAAAAATATCGAATGATATGTAGTTAACTTGTGTGAAGGTGAAGAACAGAAAGAAGAAAATGATGATTTCGATCTATAGTTAATGTACATTGTATCGATGGTCTATTTGATGTCGTCAATAAATTTACAGAATTGAATAGACCGTTACAGAGTATACAGAAAAATATTTACGATCTAGGTATCAAATGATATATTTAGAATTTATCAAGTTATGATTAATTAAAAATATTAATAATAAAATAAATATTATTGTTTTGAAATGGAATTTTTTTAAAAATTTTATTTGTATTATTGCTAATTCTTTAGAATTTCTTTCTTTCTATAATTTGACTCATATGTGAAAAAGAATGCGTCATGTATATGTCATTCTTTTTCTTCTAACTCAGATCTTATGTATTATATAACATAGCAATATACTGATAACCAAAATATTCTTCGTTCTTTTGTCTTTCTTTGGATGACGACATCTTCGAGAGAAGAAAAAAAAACATCGACAAATGTCTTAGGAATCAGAAAGATATCAAACACTACATTGTGAGAACACGCGCGAGAATAGTTTTTTTTTTGATAAAAGTATATAGAATAATGAATGATGCAATGGAAGCATTAGCTGGTGCTGGTTTATTACCATTACTTAAAAAAACTGATATAACACAAACTAACATCAATCCAAATATATTATCAAATACTGATACAAATACTCTTTATCCAGTATTAAATAATGTCGTAGAAGAAGCAATCGATGAAGAAAAAAAAATTGATGAAACAATAGATAAATTTACACCATATCCAACACTTGTTCAAGTAAAATCAATGATTGATGAACAAAAATCAGATACATCTACTATTATTGAACCACCATCTATTGAGCCATTAGAAAATTTTCTTGAAAAACGTGCGACTACAATCGAAGGATTAAAAAAATTACAGAGTCGTATGGCTAAACATATTACAAATTGTAAAATTTCAAATACAGTTGGTAATTCTGCATCAATTATTGGTGGAATATTATGCTTTGTTTTTCCTCCAGTTGGTGTACCTGTTCTTCTTGCTGGTAGTGCAACAAGTCTTGGTAAAAAAAAAATAATTTAATTGATTTATCTAATAATACTTTTTTTTTGAATTTTGAAGGTACTAGTATTACAGAGAATGTTATTGAAAAACGTCTTCGAACAGAATGTTCAGAACTTTTAAAAGAAGATTCAATAGCAATGAAAGTATGTGAATCAAATTTAAAAGCTATAACAGCATGGCTTGTTACTGTTTATTCACTTGGTTTTTCTGTATCGAGAGCCGGAGTGAATTTTATAAAACTTGCCGAAGCTATTCAAACAGCTTCAACTTTAGGAAAATGGAGTGAGTTAATTGGACAATTGCCATCATTAGCTGGTGCTTTTGCAACTGGTGCTAAAACAGCTGGAACAATCAGTGGAAAAATACTTGGTGTTTCAGTTATTATTTCTGTTGCTGATTTAATTCAAACTTGGGTATCAAAAAATGCAACATTATCATCTATTGATAAAGATATAGCATTACTTGAACAACAATTAATGGAATTAAAACGTATAGCTGATGTTTATCATTCTTGAAAATAGGCTTTCATTATCAGATAACTATAGTTATTTTATAACTCCTTTATTACATCACAGATTTATTTTTTTTGTTTAAGATTGTCAGAATAATAAAATAAACAAAATATTGAAATTGAATATAAATACTTTACAATCGAGTTATTTCATCACTGTCATTTTTTTGTATTGAAACATCACTATTTACAGGCACTATATTCGGAGAGATTTCATCCTCATTAGAATGTCGAAATTTCCAATTGAAAAAAACAACACCACAAGCAATACCAGATATTAATCTTGTTAAAAAACCTGATAAAGCCATGGATAAACCCATTCGACGATTATTATATACTTTACATGTTCGTCGAGAATAACAATCTGTAAGCCATACTAAACATGATTGATCGAAAACAAAACCAAATAATAATGGACCAGTTGTTTGTCCTAATACTCGAACAATAGTTTGACGAAGTGCAAGTGCCATATTTTGATAAGATAATGGAACACTATAAAGAAGTACGTGTAATAATGGAACTTGAATAAATGCTGTAAAAAAGACGACAAATGTAGCACCTATCATTGTTAAAGCAAATACTGCTTTACCTAAAATAGATTATAACTAATTGAAGAAATTTTATAAAAAAAAGTATGTATTCATACAAGGTATTTGTCGAAATCGACAAGCTGTTTCACTAAGAATTGTATTTTCTCCACAATTACATGAATAATATAAATTAGTATTATTACTGATGATTCTTGTTTGATTAATACAACCAAAATGACATGGTGATAGAAACATATTAAGATGATCATTTATATCACATACTAAATAGAATTATTTAAAAGTAATGAAAATTTATATTTTTTTATATGATTTTACCTGGACGATAAATATTATGACAACAGGGTGCATTGACAGAAGAACAGGATGTATGTTGAAATTTAAGTTCCGGACAAGAGAAATTCAAAAATAGAAAGAGAAATGATGAAATTACTAATAGAATACTGCAAATACGTGCACATTGTAATGATGTCCAAGAATATTTATTCATAAAATAGGCACCTATTGGACAACCAATAATAACTGATAATAAAGCAATAGCACCAGTTATTAATGTTGCTGTTGATGTATCTAATTGATGTTGATATTCAAAATATTTAGTAATAAATGGTACAAATCCTTAAATAAAATTTTCAATCTTTAGAATTTTATACGAAAAAAAAATTAAATTTACCTTTCAATAGAATACCTTCGAATAAATTAGCAATAACAACAAAAACATATCGTGTATTTCTTATAAGTTCATAAATAATAGAACACATATTTCTCCAGGTTCTTTTTTCTGTTTTTTGAACTGCTAGATTTTGTGAATCAGTTGTTATTGAATTAGGTATTGGTAATTGATTATAAAGTGTATCTGTTGAAAAAGCATGATTAATTACACCATTTTCACTATTATTTTCTATGGATGAAAATGTCAGTTGAGATCGATTTTGATTTTTTAAATCAGAACATGAAGTAGTTCTTGTTTCAGGTATTGAATCATCCTCTTGAACAATTGAAATATCTAAATCAAATAAAGAAATATAATTATCACGATCAAATTTTTTTATTTACTTTTAGGTTGTTGATTGGATTCAGTAGAATGAATGATACGTTTTTTACCAGGTATTTCATAATTTGGTAAACCCGATACAAAAATTCCAATAAGAAAACATAATGAACCATAAATTAGATAGGGTAACCACCAACATCCAATCCATAATGGATGATTAGGTTTTAACCATGATGGAAGTTGTTGTTTAGATGTAAAGTTAGTATAGAGTAATAGAAATCTTCCAGTCGCAACAATACCAAGTGCACCACCAATAGTACCTACAGCAAAATAAATACCTTGACAATAAGCTGCTTTTTCACGTGGAAATATTCGTTCAATATAAGCAACACCAATAGTAAATAATGCAACACTTCCTATACCATTAATAAAATTTCCTAAGTATAAAAGAACTTTTGCATTTGTTAATGTATTTGATAGATGCCCACTATTTAAACATGTTGTATCGGTTACATTTCCATTACCAAAAGGATTTTTATAACATTGAAAAAGTACATTATCTGTTGTTGCTAAATTTTGTGTTACATCAGAATTAAAATTCAATGTATTGTATCCAGTTAAAAAATTACTTGATCCAATAATTACATTTCCAATAGAAACAATAATCATATTTAATGAAAAAAACATCGGTGAAGAATATAAACCACCTAAATAACCAACTAATGGTGCTGAAATAACAGTTGCTAAATCATATAAAGCAAGAAATAAACCAGATTGTACACTATTTAAATAGAATACACGTTCAATAGTTGAAATAACAGCATTATTGGCACCATTTACCGAAAAATTTTGAATAAATGTACATATACATAAAATAATATAAGCAAATAAAGGTCGACTTAAAATTCCACCACATCGAAAATTACCCCATCCATAACGATTATATTTTTGCTGTTGATCAGCATCAGAATTATGTACAATAGATGTTGGAATCATTCTTCATACGTTTTTCTAGATTAATAAAAGATAATAAATGCACATTTTGAAGTAAAACTAAATAAATAATTTTTTTTCTTCTCTACCGACCTATTCACCTTTTCTTTCCTTTTTCTAAGGAGCTAACCTCCGGCAATGTCGTATACATTTGCTCTTTCTTACCATCTAGGAATTAGTGAAAAAAGAAAACGAGATTTTTTTTTCTCTCTTCCTACTTCCTTAGAGAAGATGAATCTATATTTTAATAAAGTCATACTGTTCTTTGCATTTTACTCAATGAAGTCATAAAAAATAATGCATATATATATATATAAGTCTATTCATTGACATACTTTGTATAACATTGTTTGAAATAAAATGACAATTTTTAATTGAGTTTTTCTTTTTGAATCAAACGAATGAATACGAAAGATATGACAAACAAAAATGTGTCTATCTTTCAGTCATTCTTTTTCTTATTCTTTTTGTCTGCATTTATAAGATGAAATAGCTTCCGCACAGAATAAGAATAGTGAAGAGATGTTTGCCTCTTCGATAGTCATAGAAAGAAAAAGTAATTAATAATAAAACATAATCGGTAGGCTGGAAGAGAGAGAAAGTCGAAGAATATAAAAAATAAGACCTGTAAATGACCTTAAGAAAATGTATCATTAATCAATTAACCATTAAAAATCACATGCAACATTACGTCATTTAATATATCTTTATTAAATAAAAAAGATTTAACTAAATTATCTTTGATAGTTACGTACTTATAGAACGATAGTATTATTTCATTATATCGATCAATGTCAATATACATAAACGTGGGTTTTCGATCATAAATAGTCAACTAAATTGCATGGCAGCAATATATATATATGTAGAAAATGTGTATCGACAACAGAACGTTGCTTTTTCTTTACCTGATCAGATCGTAAACGATGATGAATAGAAAAAATAAAAATCAATGCATATATTTTTTTAATATAACATAAAAATACTACGCATTCTCATTTTATTTGACAATCAAACACCATACTAACGATGAAGTAATGTTAGATTGTTTTTGTATGCATATGTGAAGTATGAATTGAATCAATTCCAAAAATAATATTGATCTAAGAAGAGTATAATATTAAGTACACGAAACGTATTTCGTATGACTGAAATATATATGAAAAGTGAAGTGAATTTATTAATTAAAATAATTGAATTTGTTCTTGTTACATAAAGAGTTCGCCTGTCAACAAAAAAGTTTTATTTATTTCCTCTATAACTAACACATGAGAGAAATATAGGAGACAAATAAATACTTTTTTTTTGACCTTCTCGTGTGATCATATAAATAAAAAATCTAGTCACACCTTTAATAGTCATTTTACTATTTGCTATGATTTTAGATGAAGTTATTTTATTAATAATATCGAATGGTATAGATCTAAGCATAACTTCATGTTATCTCATCATGAATCATTAGTATTTTTACAAAATCAATCGTCTTTTAAGTCAGTACAAATGAATATTATTTGAATCAAAGCCAACAATAATATAATATTACAAAATAATTAATACATTCTAAGATAAAAATACTTCATCATTTATGTTTTAATTATTCGCTTCACATATTCTTACTACTTAACAAATACTTTATTCCGTTTATATAAATAAATCCTCGCCATGGTCTCTATCATTCTGTAATTTATCAACACTAACAAAGATTATTGAAAATCAAAACTCATTCGAATTATTTTATTTTACAAAAAAAACTAATCTTATATTATGAAATGACATCATCCATGTAGCTGGCTGTTGCATTATTATGTAATTATAGTCATTTTTTTT